TTGGGTTAATTACAAGAATGCTTTTCTCTGCCGCTTTACACAGCGCTTGGGCCTGCGACAGCCTCGTAATTTATAAAGCTGCTCTATTACGTTTTTATTAGTAGCTATTCCCGTTTATAAGGAGCGAGAGAGCTGGAGGCAGCGCCCCAGCGTGATCTCCTGGAGAGAAGTGTAGTTAAAATATCAGTTTCTGGGCTGGTTTAACAGGGAGAAGTCCTCTCCTCCACCCAGCCCTGATTTTTGGCTTTGCCTCCTCGTGCTCTCGAGGTGGCGAGGAGCACCCACTGGTGGCGAGGACACTGGGTCCCTGTCTGTGTGGCAGCTGAAGACGAAAGCCCAACAGCCCGCGAAGCCTTGAGAGATTTGGGCCTTGGCTTCTCATTCCAGGACGGGCTTTGAAGATCAGCCCTGCGAGAGAAAAGCTTCTTCGACAGCTGAGATTTGCTGACAGCTCAGGAGTTTGCTGGGGTGGGGGAAATGAGGCCCCCTCCTCTTGGGAGCGGTGCCTGTAATTGGGAGAGGGGTATAAGGGCTGGAGGCAGAGCTGGTGTTTCCCTCGTCAGGCTGAGAGCTGATCCCAACTCTCCCGTGGCTAATTAAGATCAAGGAGGCATTAAATTGAGCAAAGTGGTGAGAACTTGGTTTGGGCTGGAGTAAAGAAAAGAGGAAGAGCGGGTGGCTGGCAGGAGGCACCGGGTGCTGGAGGCTGAGGGAGCCTCCTGAGCAACAGGGATGGCCTTGCCCCCAGGGGAAGGTGCCCGGTCACTGCTGTCACCCCGGCCCTGCCTCCCCAGGGGGGACCAAGCCGAGGAAGGGAAACCCCTGGGTTAAACGCGGGTAATTTCTCACTTCTTCATCGCACAGGGTGTCTTACAGCAGGGTTAAGCTACAGAGCGCAGCTCTGACCTTCGGTTCTTCCCTCTGCACTCTGGGTAACCTCAGCCACTTCAGCATGAAATCCCCTCGCGGGGGTTTCTCCGCACATCCGAGCCCTGCCGTGTCTGGTGCTGCTGCGGAGCAAACCGCGGGTTGGGGGGGGATTTGAGAATACACTGATGTGAAAGAAAAATGGGTTCAGGCTCCCAGAAGACCCTGCCCTGTGGCTTTAGCAGGCCTGAGCTAACTGCCAGGCTAAATCCCTGCTGCGTGGCGAGCTGTGACCGCATCTTGCCGCATCCACGGGTCCCAGCAGACACCCAAGCCCTGTTGTTCCCTTGCAGTGAGCGAGCCAGAGATGTACTACATCGGCACCGAGCCCTGGAGGCCCAAGGAGGCTCTGCAGGAGGACGGCGTGATCACTGACAAGGCCGACATCTATGCTTTTGGGCTGACCCTCTGGGAAATGATGACCCTCTCCATGCCCCACATCGACATAGATGAACACTTTGATGAGGAAGGTTTGTTTCTGTACCTTCTGGTGAGCAACTTCTGCTCCTAGCAATGCTTTCCTCTCTTAGTAGGAACGATTTTTACAGGGTGTGTTAGTAACCCCACAGTGCTGGGTCTCCCTGACTGCTGCTCTTCCCCCCGAGAGCCCCACAGGGTGCTCGGCTGGGTGCTGGCTCCGTGCCACATCCGGGCAGTGTAGGAGCGATCGGCCAGGCTGCCAAACACCCGCTCACCTCTGACAAAGCACAGGGGAAGCAATTTGAGTTACTCTGGGCACCTCCTGCGTGCCCAAGTGGGGATTTGTCGTTGAATCCCAGAATGGCTGGGGTTAGAAAAGCCTTTCAAGCTCCCCCAGCCCAAGCGTTCCCCTACCCCTGCCATCCCACCCCCAAACCCTGGCCCTCAGCACCGCCTCTGCCCGGCTGTTAAATCCCCCCAGGGCTGGGGACTCGACCCCTTCCCTGGGCAGCCCCTTCC